GCGCACCCCCTGCACCCTCCCCCTAGATCCGCCCCTGGTGCACGATATCGTGTTCGACTATATTAATATTGTTTAGACGAGTGCGTGGGCCGGCTGCAACGCAGGCTATCGTTGGCTTGTTATTAAAAAAAAATTAATTTTCACAGTGGGTGATATTTTTGGGCAGTACAAAGTAAAATAATAAATTAGCTCAGTATGATGGCATGTTTGTTCGAATTGAATTAGCTTTAAGTTACTGTTTTCTCTATCACGCTGTAACAAGGGTTGAATGTAATTTTTTTTACAAAACAAGGAGTGAAGTTGATGCTGTTGGCAAAGGAGCAGAAGAGAAGGACTTCCCAAGGAGGGAGTACATTCTGTCTTCCCCTTACCTTACTTATTACTCATCTCACTGACTTAAATCTTATAACTTTTCTAGCCTACAGTTGTGTAACCGCAAATTGATGCCAGCCTGCAGCACCCTCTTATCATTAGCTAGCCTTTTGTTACTGTACATCTACAAGTACAATTAATTTCTAAACCCGACTATCGCATTCTGTAGTTAGCTGTAGATTGATAGTTACAGAGCTCACCACTGAAGTCTACACTGATGTTAAAATCCAGATCACGCTGAAATCAGATTTCAAGAAAAGTATCTCAATAACAATACAGGGTTCGTTCCTTTTTTTTGAACAAAAAATTCAAGGACTTTCAAGGACCTTCAAGGACACATTTCCCATTTTTCAAGGACTCCATTCAGTGCAAAACAGAGCCTTGAGTCTATGTCTTTTTTAGTTAATTCACAACATTCAGTAATTTTATCCCGAAGGTCTTTCTGTGTTTGCTCCTTTTTCTTTTAACTACATGTATAAACTTAGCATTGAAATTCAAGGACTTTCCAGCACTGACTGCAATTTTCACGGACTTTCAAGGCCTTGAATTTTTATTTGAAAATTCAAGGACTTTCAAGGTCCGTGCGAACCCTGACAATATAACATTATTGCCTAGTTTCAAGCCGAGGGTCTCATTTTGTTTATCCCATAATAAACAGACTTGTACCCAGCACTCCTGGGTTTGAAATTAGAGAACTCCTTAGTTCATGAGAAAATGATAAAGAAATAATTTTGCCTTAGTAGAAATACACTGAGATATCGCAGTGCATTAAAAACAGGACCAGCTGTGACAAAGATGTGTATTCATGTACTTACATTATTTCTTGGGTTAGGTTTCATTTTGAATTCTCCTATTAATTCTTCCCCATATTTGACAGTCAGGTAGTCGTGAAGATAGAATACAGTTTGCTTCCAGTGGGTATAGTGGCAGTCAGGAGCTATAATAAAACACTAAAATTAATATTGAACTCTTGAAGTCATGCACAGGGTGTGGCTACACTTGACAACTATTTTTGTGTTTACAGTTTCCATAGAAACTGAAATACCATGTAAGCACTTCATAAGTCCATAATGTCCATAAGAAAAACAATAATTCTGAAGGCAGGAGACAAAATACCGTTCTCAAACAAGTAGCCTGTTCACAAAATAAGTAACGTGAGACAACTGGGGCACTAACAGGTTGATCAATAAGCTTCAAATTTAACATTTATCCAACTCAAGGGCACACAAGTTAAGGGCACAAATAGTAGGATTGTAAAGGGTCAGCTAACATTCAAGGGCCAATCTCCTTTCTGTGCTGGAGGTTTTTTACTGTCAGGTGTAGAATGAGCAGGGAATTTTGTCATTCGTTCACCAAAAGTTAGCCAGAGAATCATGCATTTTAAACGCCTGTTTGGGCTCTTGGTTTGCAATTTTGGTCACCAACAGGCAAATCGTAGGTGCCTCTGGTGACCGGCCGCCTGTTAGGCAGCAGCCTTGCAGAAGCAACACAGGTACACTGTACATGAACATGAAACTGCAGCCTTTAAATGGCCTGGGAACAAAAAGGTTCTTCTACTTCTTCTCAAGATGTGGTTATGATATGCTTTCATTAATAATATCATTGTAACAAGAAAAGCAAACTAATACAATGACATTACAATGTATCTGTGGGGGGGTAGGCTTTTTTAAAATGCATCTCATGCATGAAAAATGGCCCCGGACATTTTGTATACAGAAGATGATTTACCAGTAGAGAATCCTGTTCTTTTGTGGCAGTGTGTAAACTCAATAGTAAAGAAAGCAACAAGAGCATGGATGTAGTCATTTCGTCGACAGTACAGCTGGAAAGGGGAGCTGAATGACAGGTCTTCCTTCTTCACTGTATGCAGGTCAATTTCCTGTTGTAGAAAAAAAAATTCTTTTTCAATTATAATCAAAAATTAAGTACTCAAGCTTGCTAATACAAGGTACTTAAATTGACTACATGTATGTAGCAAAGTACTGAAGTCTACATCACAAATACAGCTGTACAGACTACAGGTATATATCCAACACCCTGAAGGTACATATACAGCTGTAGTTAAGGAATTGCATGTAATTATGCTCCACGGGACCTTATTTTGGTTATGAATACATCTTTGTATGCATACGCCACCCAGTTAGCTCAATGGGATAAGTGCCAGTCTGCTGAGCGGGAGGCTGTAGGTTCAAACCCCAGCCAGACCAACACTCAGGGTCTTTAAATAACTGAGGAGAAAGTGCTGCCTTTGTAATAACATCTACCAATGGTTTGACTTTCTAGTCTTTTTTGGATACAGACGATAAACCGTAGGCCCCGTCTCACAAGCCCTTGCACATGTAATAAAAAGTCTGTGGGATNTTGGGTTAGGTTTCATTTTGAATTCTCCTATTAATTCTTCCCCATATTTGACAGTCAGGTAGTCGTGAAGATAGAATACAGTTTGCTTCCAGTGGGTATAGTGGCAGTCAGGAGCTATAATAAAACACTAAAATTAATATTGAACTCTTGAAGTCATGCACAGGGTGTGGCTACACTTGACAACTATTTTTGTGTTTACAGTTTCCATAGAAACTGAAATACCATGTAAGCACTTCATAAGTCCATAATGTCCATAAGAAAAACAATAATTCTGAAGGCAGGAGACAAAATACCGTTCTCAAACAAGTAGCCTGTTCACAAAATAAGTAACGTGAGACAACTGGGGCACTAACAGGTTGATCAATAAGCTTCAAATTTAACATTTATCCAACTCAAGGGCACACAAGTTAAGGGCACAAATAGTAGGATTGTAAAGGGTCAGCTAACATTCAAGGGCCAATCTCCTTTCTGTGCTGGAGGTTTTTTACTGTCAGGTGTAGAATGAGCAGGGAATTTTGTCATTCGTTCACCAAAAGTTAGCCAGAGAATCATGCATTTTAAACGCCTGTTTGGGCTCTTGGTTTGCAATTTTGGTCACCAACAGGCAAATCGTAGGTGCCTCTGGTGACCGGCCGCCTGTTAGGCAGCAGCCTTGCAGAAGCAACACAGGTACACTGTACATGAACATGAAACTGCAGCCTTTAAATGGCCTGGGAACAAAAAGGTTCTTCTACTTCTTCTCAAGATGTGGTTATGATATGCTTTCATTAATAATATCATTGTAACAAGAAAAGCAAACTAATACAATGACATTACAATGTATCTGTGGGGGGGTAGGCTTTTTTAAAATGCATCTCATGCATGAAAAATGGCCCCGGACATTTTGTATACAGAAGATGATTTACCAGTAGAGAATCCTGTTCTTTTGTGGCAGTGTGTAAACTCAATAGTAAAGAAAGCAACAAGAGCATGGATGTAGTCATTTCGTCGACAGTACAGCTGGAAAGGGGAGCTGAATGACAGGTCTTCCTTCTTCACTGTATGCAGGTCAATTTCCTGTTGTAGAAAAAAAAATTCTTTTTCAATTATAATCAAAAATTAAGTACTCAAGCTTGCTAATACAAGGTACTTAAATTGACTACATGTATGTAGCAAAGTACTGAAGTCTACATCACAAATACAGCTGTACAGACTACAGGTATATATCCAACACCCTGAAGGTACATATACAGCTGTAGTTAAGGAATTGCATGTAATTATGCTCCACGGGACCTTATTTTGGTTATGAATACATCTTTGTATGCATACGCCACCCAGTTAGCTCAATGGGATAAGTGCCAGTCTGCTGAGCGGGAGGCTGTAGGTTCAAACCCCAGCCAGACCAACACTCAGGGTCTTTAAATAACTGAGGAGAAAGTGCTGCCTTTGTAATAACATCTACCAATGGTTTGACTTTCTAGTCTTTTTTGGATACAGACGATAAACCGTAGGCCCCGTCTCACAAGCCCTTGCACATGTAATAAAAAGTCTGTGGGATGTTAAAGAACCCACAAAGTCACTCTTCGTAAAGAGTAGGGCACATAGTACCTGGTGCAGTGGGCTATCTCACTTTCATACTCATGTATTGGGGCATCATTACTCATTTCTTCATTACTTGTAAACTGCAACTTAAGAAGTCTGGCAAAGTTCCCCAACCAGTGTTATAAATTATTCCTGAAAAGCCCTGATCTGAGGGGAGTGGATAATATTATATTTACACTCACATTTAGTCATATCCTACATGTACAATGAATGTTTTGTAACACCCTTTTGAGTGTTGCATGAAAAAGTAAACCTATTTGCAACACCATCAAAAAACACCATCTGCTAGCACCATTACATATACTGTACCTACATGTGTAGTAGCCCCTTACATATACTTGAACATGTGGGTGTCACCTGACCTACTATCTGCATTAGCCTTACCTTCACTACACATGAGTTAGTGACCACTTGTTTTGCCTCCACCACATCAACTAACGGTTCAGTTAAGGCCACGTTTCTGATGCAACTCATGTCAAAGCCATATACATTGTCCCACCCTGCAAAAAGGTCATTCATTTTAAGAAATCTTGCTTAAAACTACTATATATGTACATGCACAATTTTTATGTTTGCACTAGCTGTAATCACTCTGGCCAGAATCACAACATGCAGGACAACACTGCATGATGAGTAGCCCCGTGCCTCCTGTAGAACTTCATCTGCAAACTTACAGTGGAAGCCTAATAAAATTACTGACTGTGTAAAAGCACCCAGTGGACAAAAAATAAATTAATAATGCACATCAGTAATAAAAAGTATGACAGGAAAGTACAACTTCAAAGCTTGCATTAGAACATGACTCAGGTTTTTGATAAAAAAAAAGGAAGCATAACAGGTACACAAAGACAACAGGGAAACAAATGCAGATGAGAAAAGGCAAACAAAAGCAACAGAACCAAAGAACTGTACAGGATTTAAGCTAAAAATGGTTATAAACAGCTAAATCAACCAGAAGAGAGGAAATAAACAACAACAACAACCTACAATAAATTTTATCTTCTTTGTACTGCCTGTCTTCAATGGCACAGACAAACAGTTGTGCTTTGTCTGGAAACAATAGCCCACCCGGTTTCTGCAATTAAGTAAAGATGGTGACATGTGAGCTACAATCAGGTACAGTGACATACCTGTAACTTTCGTTGGGCCATTAGCATTAAAAAGAAAAAATATTCTCCTCACAGTACTTTACAGGAGTGCAGCCTTTCTTTACTAAACTCAACTCCATCATCAGAAAAAAGATTCATTCATGGCAGTTTCAACAGTTAACCTTGTACTCAAGAAAATTGTCACCAAGTAATCGATGAATTGTCTGGAACTTGGGGTGTAGTAAATTTAAATTTGTATAAATGCTTTGCATGGTATAAGGACTGAAAAAGGAGCTACATGTACATTGAACATTTTTATACATGTATTATTATCACTACCATTATTATTATTATTACTATTACTAGTTATAATTAAATGTTAAGGAGTGCAAGAGACAAAATACTTTGCATCTAAGTTTCACACGTAGATGGTAAAAAATACGAGTAATGGAAGATCCAAATGTGCGCGAGCAGATTGTGAATTATAAACAAGAACGTTCTTAAAACTGGCGGTTAGTCTTGCTTGCTTGGAGAGTAGATAAGATAAAGAAATGAGGTGATTAATTAACCACGAAACACGATAATTTACCCGCTAAAGCTTTTTCACTTCCTACTTTAATTTATCAATGGTACTTTTTATACTGTATTCAACGATTTGTTTCTGAATTGATTTAGTACGCGTGTTAGCGACAACTGGAAATACGTCTGCAGTCACAGCCTACATGCCTGTACAATTACACGAAAATTGAAGGACCTTGATTTGAGAGAAATGTGATGAGAACATGGCGCTTCATTTCAACCATCGCCGAAAATATTGCATCACATTAGACTCATTTGCATACAATGAAAGTTTACAACACTCATGATCAAAGTTTTTGCTAATTAAGATTCTTCTTTTATTTTCGACCTAGTGTTCACTTATTCCAAAGTAATCACCGCTTTCAAGCCGATAGAATTCGTGGACTGACCCGTTCCGGAAAAGCTCTACATTTAATCTTTCCTAAGCATTCTTTGCAAAACATGCGTGGCTTCAGTCACACAAAAATTCTTATTCCCAGTTTCCAAAATCGCCGCCACGAATACCTGGGACCACAACCGTCATTTTGTGTGCGAGTGGTTTTATTTTCTTTGTATTAAGTAGATTATGAGTCTCACTGCTTGCCCAAGCGAGACTAACAAAGCTGACTAGCAACTGGAACATTAAAGACATCATTATCATCATCATCATCATCATCATCATCATTATTATTATTATTATTATTATTATTTTGTACTCCATAATCTACAAGTATTTTGGAGTTAATAAGGAGGTCATTGCCTGAGATAGATGAAGTTGTCTAAGTATGGTAATTAGATGGCCACTCACCAGCCATTTGTCCCTGGCAAATAACACAGTGTCCAACATGGACTCATACAACAGACAGTATCCCATCCATTCACTAATGATGATATCAACCTTTTCAACAGGCAGTTCAATTTCTTCAATTTTGCCTTTAATAAGGGTGATGACTAAAAGTACAAATAAAATAATACAAATTAATTTGAAAACATTTATCCGCAAATCCAGTAAGGGTTTCTTTCAGACATCACAGAATTTAATATGCATTTAATTAATAGGCAAGGCACTCAAGCCTTTTTTTCTTAGCAGCCCACAGTTGCTGGGATTTTTATGTGTCCTTTAATTCACTCGCAGAGCATTTGGCATTACTTTTTGTCTGATTTTGCTTCCTTGGATTGAGTTATTGGTTGAAGAGATGAACAAAACAACTTTGAAATTTAACTACAGTGTAAACATCTCAAACGATTCTGATATGCATAAGAAACAGGACATCTGATACACAGAGGATGCGAGAAAGATGTAAAAAATATTTGCAAAAATTTTACAACGTATTATGAGGAAAATAACCTCACTGTGTGGAAAAAGTCTAACAGTAATGTTTACCTCCTTCAAAGTTGTTGTCTTTGATTATTTGTTTGGCGTAATCAATAATAGAAGAAAAGTCAACCTGTAAACAAAAACAGAGTGGAAACATGTAATACCTGTAATTCAATATTACTGTTAGTCACTGCCACTACCAAAAACACTGGACAAACTGTTGCAAGTAGATTAAGTTGATTTCAGTACTGTATGGAATAAAACAACCTTATTGTGGTTTTAACAGAATTTTTTGTTTTCACCTCCATTTCGAGCTGAAAGATCACTTACAGGAGAGGAAAATAAACTTATGGTAGTGTATAGCCAATAATAATAATAATAATAATAATAATAATTATACATTGTAGTCACCATCTGTCTTTCCATTGGCTAAAAGCCTACAGTTAATTCTGGGAAACAGCGCAACCTACAGATTATTCACTAATCTGTACCTACAGATTAGTGAATAATCTGTAGGTTGCGCGCACAATGCATGATTGCCAAGAGCAATGTCAAGTGCACGGACAGCAATGTCAAGTTCGCGGACAGCGAAGTAAGAATGGCTTCTCGATTTGCTTCATCGACCCAGCAAGAAATTGAGAAATTACTTGAAGATAAAGTATAACAAAACAATTATTAGATTCGGTTTTTGTGATATCTGGAATAATCAAGGTCTCGGTAACACTTACCTCGACCTTGATTATTCCGGATATCACAAAAACCTCATCCAATAATTGTTTATAATAATAATAATAATAATACAATTTATTTAAAGAGGGTAGCATGGAATAGTTACAGAAACTAGTAAACTTGTGGCCCTCTATCTAAATTAAAATTATAAAAAGCATAAGATTCAGAATATACAAAGTTTAAATAAGTACAAAATAAATAAAACTAAGGAAATATAGAAGTTTAACATCAATATGAATGAGTATAAGAGCTAATGATATGGCTAGTGAAATACATACAAGAATATGATTAAACTATGAATGAGCCATGTATATTTTAAATTATGTACATTACATGAACAGTACAGAGCAACATTTATATAAGTCTGCAAATTCATGAATACTGTTGAGCTCTATTGATCTGTAAGTAATGCAGTTTTTTTTGTAGACTGGGGGAAAAATAGAGATATCTCTAATGTCTTAATTAAATGGCCTGCAATTAGCTTGAGATGTATTTCAAGGACTGATTATTCATCATTGCAACTGAGAAAAAAATATTCTTCAAAGTACAATAGTACTCACAGCATATACATGCTTTGCTCCAGCCTTAGCAGCAAACATTGACAAAATCCCTGTTCCACATCCCACATCAAGAACAACCTTATCACGAAACAGGTGTCTGTTATAGTACATTGCATTCCGGTATGTTGTTGTGCGCACTTCATCTTTGATCATTTCCTGTTAAATGTGAAAAAAAAATACTCTTGAACGTACATTTAAGTTGGGGTACATCACAGCTCATTACATTCATGTACGTAACTTTGCACTTGAAAATGATGCATGCAATGATTTTGAAATAGAATGGATGTTCCAACTGCTTTTTGCAATTTAACCTACTGTCACATTGCTGGACATACTCATTTCAGAGGGTGTATACCGTAATTAACTCTAGGCATATTTTGTCTAATTAAACTTGCAAGACCATGGGTTTGGTTCTCCACTCAAACTTCAACAGTTGCTGGTATGGTTTTGTTCTTAGTTGCTTTTACAAGAGCAACTCTAGTCGTTCTGTACCGTGGCAAGAATGATAAGCCATTTTGTCAAGCTGAGCTTTGACCTGTTTGTCACATTTTACCACCTAAAATCTTCCTGGAGGTTTTGAGCTAAAACTTCAAAACATAACCCTGGCGGACCTTCCTTTGAGACGGGATTAAGAAGATAAATTCACCCTTGAAGCTGCAATTACAAAGCCTGCATTGATTGTTTGGATTGATTGAGACTTCTCCATTCCCGCCATCTACGCGTTGCTTCCCAAATACAAAGAAACTATATTTTGGGTTCACATGCATCCTCAAAAGTTCACTTCCGCTCCCACGGAGGGCCAAACATTATTTTTATTGGTCAATTTATGACAGCTTATGACAGCATCAAATGTCAGTGCACGTACTCAGGCATGACAGGCCAAGTGGACGGTTTTCAAAATCCTGGGGTTTGTCTGCAAGCGTTTCCTTACCTTTCCTCCCTTCCCCCTCCCCGCTACTTTTACTCGTGCCGTTTTTTGCATGATCTGTCACTCTCATTCCTCGTTCTTTGCTCCAAAACCGCACGGAAACTCTAGCTATTAGCTACAAGATGCCAGGAATTCCTTGCCAAAGGGAAGGTTGAGACGGGGTCAAAGAAGGTAAAAAGTTGCTTACTATACTAACTGAACACCTGCCACTTTGTCGTTACAAAAAGAATTACACTGCCTTTGATTTTGTGTCACTATTTACTGGATATCAATTTTATCAGAAAATATTGATAAAAAAAATTTGCCTGTCAAACAGAAAACCACGTACATTTATAAGACATTGGCTGACAAAGCTAAACCAGTTCACACGTTTTAAAATCATTTTACATTCTAGAGGTCTTTGTGGGGGGGATTTGCAAACGTATTAAATTGTGGNCTGAGAAAAAAATATTCTTCAAAGTACAATAGTACTCACAGCATATACATGCTTTGCTCCAGCCTTAGCAGCAAACATTGACAAAATCCCTGTTCCACATCCCACATCAAGAACAACCTTATCACGAAACAGGTGTCTGTTATAGTACATTGCATTCCGGTATGTTGTTGTGCGCACTTCATCTTTGATCATTTCCTGTTAAATGTGAAAAAAAAATACTCTTGAACGTACATTTAAGTTGGGGTACATCACAGCTCATTACATTCATGTACGTAACTTTGCACTTGAAAATGATGCATGCAATGATTTTGAAATAGAATGGATGTTCCAACTGCTTTTTGCAATTTAACCTACTGTCACATTGCTGGACATACTCATTTCAGAGGGTGTATACCGTAATTAACTCTAGGCATATTTTGTCTAATTAAACTTGCAAGACCATGGGTTTGGTTCTCCACTCAAACTTCAACAGTTGCTGGTATGGTTTTGTTCTTAGTTGCTTTTACAAGAGCAACTCTAGTCGTTCTGTACCGTGGCAAGAATGATAAGCCATTTTGTCAAGCTGAGCTTTGACCTGTTTGTCACATTTTACCACCTAAAATCTTCCTGGAGGTTTTGAGCTAAAACTTCAAAACATAACCCTGGCGGACCTTCCTTTGAGACGGGATTAAGAAGATAAATTCACCCTTGAAGCTGCAATTACAAAGCCTGCATTGATTGTTTGGATTGATTGAGACTTCTCCATTCCCGCCATCTACGCGTTGCTTCCCAAATACAAAGAAACTATATTTTGGGTTCACATGCATCCTCAAAAGTTCACTTCCGCTCCCACGGAGGGCCAAACATTATTTTTATTGGTCAATTTATGACAGCTTATGACAGCATCAAATGTCAGTGCACGTACTCAGGCATGACAGGCCAAGTGGACGGTTTTCAAAATCCTGGGGTTTGTCTGCAAGCGTTTCCTTACCTTTCCTCCCTTCCCCCTCCCCGCTACTTTTACTCGTGCCGTTTTTTGCATGATCTGTCACTCTCATTCCTCGTTCTTTGCTCCAAAACCGCACGGAAACTCTAGCTATTAGCTACAAGATGCCAGGAATTCCTTGCCAAAGGGAAGGTTGAGACGGGGTCAAAGAAGGTAAAAAGTTGCTTACTATACTAACTGAACACCTGCCACTTTGTCGTTACAAAAAGAATTACACTGCCTTTGATTTTGTGTCACTATTTACTGGATATCAATTTTATCAGAAAATATTGATAAAAAAAATTTGCCTGTCAAACAGAAAACCACGTACATTTATAAGACATTGGCTGACAAAGCTAAACCAGTTCACACGTTTTAAAATCATTTTACATTCTAGAGGTCTTTGTGGGGGGGATTTGCAAACGTATTAAATTGTGGAATGCCCATGAATCATTCCCC